AGGAGTCCCTCCTCATTTTATTGGAATAGTTTCAGTAGAAACGGTGCCAGCTGTTTGCATATTTGGTAGAATTTGGTTGTGAACTTATTTGATCCTGGGTGTTTTTGGTTCATAGGCTATTTATCACTGCCTAAATTTCAGAACTCATTATTGGGCTTTTCAGTAATTCAATTTCCGCCTGGTTTAGTCTTAGGAGAGTGTATATGTCTAGAAATTAATCCATTTCTTCTAGCTTTTCTAGTTTATGTGTACAGGGGTGTTCATAATATTCTCTGATGTTGTTTGTATTTCTGTGGGGTCGGTGGTAATATCCTCCTTGTCATTTCTGATTGTGTTTATTTGAATCTTCTTTCTTTTCTTCTTTATTAGTCTAGCCAGCAGTCTATTTTATTTTTAAAAACCAGCTTCTGGGTTATTTGATCTTTTGAATGTCTTTTTTTGTGTCTGAATCTCCTCCAGTTCAGCTCTGATTTTGATTATTTCTTGTCTTTTGCTAGCTTTGGACTTTGTTTGCTCTTGGTTCTCCAGTTCTTTCAGTTGTGATGTTAGGTTGTTAACTTGAGATCTTTCTAACTTTCTGATGTGAGCATTTAGTGCTATAAATTTCCTCTTAACACCACCTTAGCTGTGTCCCAGAGATTCTGGCATGTTGTACTTTTGTTTTCATTAAATAACTTGTTGATTTCTGCCTTAATTTCATTATTTACCCAAAAGTCATTCAGGAGCAGGTTATTCAACTTCCATGTAATTGTATGGTTTTGAGCGAAATTCTAAGTCTTGGCTTCTAATTTGATTGAGCTGTGGTTTCAGAGACTGTTATTTCAGTTCTTTTGCATTTGCTGAAGAGTGTTTTACTTCTGACTATGTGATTGATTTTAGAGTATGCCATGTGGCGATGAGAAGAATGTATATTCTGTTGTTTTTGGGTAGAGAGTTATATAGATATCTATTAGGTCCATTTGATCCAGTGCTGAGTTCAGGTCCTGAACATCTTTGTTAATTTTCTTTCTTGTTGATTGGTCTAATATTTTCTTTTCTTTTCTTTTTTTTTTTTTTTTTTTTGTTTTTTTTTTTTTTTTTTTTTTTTTTTTTTTTTTTTTTTTTTTTTTAACTGAGATTAAGTCTTGCTCTGTGACCAGGCTGAAGTGCAGTGTGAGATCTCAGCTCACTGCAACCTCCACCTCCTAGGTTCAGGTGATTCCCCTGCCCCAGCCTCCCCAGTAGCTGTGACTACAGGTGTGCTCCACCACACCCAGATAATTTTTGTATTTTAGTAAGGACAGGGTTTCACCATGTTGGCCAAGATGGTCTCAATCTCCTGACCTCATGATCCGCCTGCCTTGGCCTTCCAAAGTACTGGGATTACAGGTGTGAGTCACCATACCTGGCCTACATTTAAGTTTTTAATCCATCTTAAGTTAATGTTTGCACATGGTGTAAGCAAGGAGTCAAGTTGCAATCTTCTATACGTGGCTAGCCAGTTATCTTAGCACCATTTATTGAATAGGAAAGCCCCATTGCTTGAGTTTGTTAGGTTTGTCAAGGATCAGATAGTTGTAGGTGTATGGTTTTATTTCTGGGTTCTCTATTCTGTTGCATTGGTCTATGTGTCTGTTGTTGTACTATGCTGTTTTGGTTACTGTAGCCTTGCAATATAGTCTGAAGTCAGGCAGCGTGATGTCTCCAGCTTTTTTCTTTTGTTTAGGATTATCATGGCTATTTGGACTCTTTTTTTGGTTCCATATGAATTTTAAAATAGTTTTGTTCTAGTTCTGTGAAGAATCTCAATGGTAGTTTAATAGGAATACCACTAGATCTATAAATTGCTTTGGGCAGTATGGCCATTTTTACAATATCAATGTTTCCTATCCATGAGCATGGAATGTTTTTTTCATTTTTTTGTGTTATCTCTGATTTCTTTGAGCGGTATTTTATAATTCTCCTTGTAGAGAGATCTTTCATCTTCCTGGTTAGCTGTATTCCTAGGTAGTTTCTTTATTTTATTTTATTTTATTTGTAGCAACAGGGAATGGGGTTGCAGTCCTGATTTGGCTCTTGGTTTGACTATTTTTTGTGTATAGGAGTGCTAGTGATTTTTTACACATTGATTTTGTACCCTGAGACTTTGCTGAAGTTGTTTATCAGCCTAAGAAGTCTTTACGCCAAGACTATGGAGTTTTATAGCTATAGAATCCTGTCATCTGCAAATAGGGATAGTATGACTTCCTCTCTTCCTATTTGGATTACACTTCTTTCTCCTGCCTGATTGCCATGGCCAGGACTTCCAATACCATGTTAAATAGGAGTGGTAAGAAAGAAAATCCTTGTCTTGTGCCAGTTTTCAGGGAGAATGTTTCCAGCCTTTGCACATTCAGTATGATGTTGGCTATGGGTTTGTCATAGATGGTTATTATTTTGAGGTATGTTCCTTCAATACCTAGTTTATTGAGACTTTTTAACATGATGGGATGTTAAATTTTATTGAAAGCCTTTTCAGCATCTGTTGAGATAATTACATAGTATTTGTCTTTAGTTCTATTTATGTGATGAATCACATTTACTGATTTGCATATGACGAACCAACCTTGCATCCCAGGGATAAAGCCTACTTGATTGTGGTAGATAAGATTTTTGATGTATTGTTGGATTTCATTTGCCAGTATTTTATTGAGGATTTTTGTCTTCATGTTCATCAGGAATACTGCCCTGAAGTTTTTTGTTTTATCTTTGCTAGGTTTTGGTATCAGGATGATGTTGGTCTCATAAAATGAGTTAGG